AGATAGATAGATAGATAGATAGATAGATAGATAGATAGATAGATAGATATAGATAACACATGATAGAAAGGCAGATAGGTAGACAGACAGATGCAAGATAGACAGAGAGACAGACAGATGATCTCTAGCTGGGGATCTGGTGTCTAACCAGGCCACTATGTGGATTTGCACATGGATTAGGAAATGGAGATGGTAGAATCACCTCTGACTACCCCCCCCGCCCCCACTTCTTTAACCCTGGCCTGGAGGGGCTCAAAGCCCTGCACCCCAAAGGAAACCCCACGACCAAACAAGAGGTCCTTGTTTAAAGGGGGTTTAGTTAGAGGCGCTCTGCACATGCCCCGGGTTGCTTAGCCTTTAGAGGCTGTTTTGCAGGGAGGATCCCGTCCCCGGGTGGCGGGTTTTTGCATCTGGGCGGCTTTCCTCCCTTCTTCCTTTCCTTCCCTCCTCCGCTTCCCCGCCGGCTGGGGATGATGGGTTTGGAGAGTCCATCCCCGGGGTCCAAAGGGGAGCCCCACCCTCGCCGCTCTCTTGCGCCGAGCCTAGTATATTAGCAAGGTTTTGGCAAAGGGGATGGGGGGGGGGAGAGATGGGGGGGGGCTGCCCATGCTCCGGTGCCTCCGGAGAGCCTGCGATGCCTCGCAAAATCGGGCTAAGGAAGGGAACCGTCGTCTCTTTTACACGGGGGGGGCCGCCGCTGCGCCCACCTTCGCCCCGCGATCCCTAGCGCGAGCAGAGGCCGGGCAGGCTGTGGCAGGAAGGCAACTTCCGGCTCCCCTTCGACGCGGGCGGGGCGCCGTCGTCGCTGAGGAACCCGAAGTGTCGCAGAAGCAATGATTGCGGGAGCCGGCAGGAGAAAGATTAAGTCCGACCCCGCAGGACGATCGGCGGATCCAAGAGGGCAGGAAAAGTGGGTGGGGTTGGGAAGGAAAGGGATAAATCTTTCTCTCTCTCTGCCTCCCTCCCTCCCCTCCCCTCCCCTCCCCACCTTCCTATCTATCTACCTATCTGTCTGTCTGTCTGTCTACCTATCTATCATCTATCTGTGTCTGTCTATCTCTCTCTACCATCTCTCTTTATCCTCTATAGCTATATCTATATATATATCTATATCTATACCTATACATTATCTATCTATCTATCTATCTATCTATCTATCTATCTATCTATCTAT